AATGACCGTGTGTTAATCATATTAAATCGTTGACAATGATTAATGTTTTTTCAGTGTAAATTATGTGTGAATAAAATAGCGTTGCTAAACGTGTTATCCTGCAGTATTTGCGCATAAATAAGATACATGCGAGAAAAGAAACACATCACAATCAATTAGCATTACATTACATTGTTTTCAAAGAAATCAATGTAATATAATTAACGTTTAGATTGCATATTCGTAGAATCTCGTAGACTCTCGTACTTTTTTATTTATGCGCTACAATATCTGACATTAGCAGTCCGTGTGAAATCCCTACTTGAAATACGAACGGAGCTTCCCGGATTTTCTGTTCTTTCGGAATGGCATTTCAACGTTGACGGAGTTATAAAGTTGCCGGTTCGAAAGAGAACGAAAAGAATTTGAGAGCTGGAGACATTAAAGTTGAATTAAATAAAAAGTTGTTATACGCGATGTGACTATTTCATAACAGAGAATATATACGTATATATTCTGTCACTTATTTCCAAAAAGCTTTATCGAGCATTACCTATATTAATCAATATTTTCAAAATTCGGTGTAAGTCGAAGAACATTTCTGTACAAATTTCGTAAAATATTAAACGGTTTACATAAAATATCTCTAGCGCCAAACATGGTGAACTTTTACCATAAAGAACAGTTATTTAAAGTTATCGATTAATAAAGAAGATTCTTAAAAAAGGGAGCTATGATCGAATGATAAAACGGTTGAACTATAAATAAAGAGCTTTCAGAACGATTTATTTACACTCCAGTGAATAAGCTAGCATTCGAATGTAAATCCTGTTTGTCAGTGCACTCTTTCAAACGGTAGCAGAAGGTACTGTATACAAGGAATGAGCTCTTTGAAAGCCTGACAAATACTTGGTAAGTTGTTCCGGTTCTTTTGATCGGGATCATCGAAGTTACACATGATTTCCGAATAGCATTCATTTTCCTACTCGATTAAACAATTGCATAATTTATGGAAATCTTTGTGAAAAATTTTTCGAGAAAATCTCACGTGGAGAGCACTATTCTGTTTAATAGAATATTAGTTAACGCAGCTTTCATTTCATAAATGAAGCAGATACCAGCCAGACGAGAAAGACGATCGTTATGGAAAGTTACTTAAAACTGCGTCAGATCTTTTTCATTCGAAACATATTCCTTTTTTATCGCTCCTTCCCTGGAAAGTGTAGATATAGAGAATATTTATAAAGCATACTTAAAAAGAGAGAAAGTCCGGTTGTCGTTGAATCTAAATTTCTCGCCTGAGATTTCTACTACTTCCTTACGTGCTTCTTCGGGATCTTCAAACATTCATGGAGCTGTAGAACGAAAGTTGTATCATTATTTATAACAGCAAGTTCTATAAAATTACCAGAGTTTATATATTGTTAAATAAAAGCATTGTGTGAAAAGATTTTGTGTGTGATAAATATAACTTTTAACTTATAATTTAAATTATGAAAATTCAAGATAATTTCAGTTATTACATCATAATGTAATAATAATCGTATAGAAGTTTTCCCGTGATATTATTCATAATAATATTACTGTATCGCTTATTAATTATGCTATTTCTCTTTATAACAGATTTTATTAAATTAATCTCTTGAATAAAAATAATACGATAAAAAATTATACTCTGACATGCATTCGTGCTCCATTTGTAATCATTAAAAATTCGTTTAATGCGTTTCTACCCGGTTATTAAAGATCCCATGACGATATAAAAGAGGGCGAAAATAGTTATGACCTGTTAAGATAAAGGTACTTGAAAGAAGGGATTGCGAAAGGTAGAGGTAAAGGTGGGCTTGAAATAACGATTTGTCATGCATAATGTTCCTTAAGTTCGTATTTTCGCGTAACGATGATATTGCTTAGCTGACGATCTGCTTGTGGATATTACAGCAGAATATTGCGCGACTTAAAAATAAAAAGAAATACCGTGACGATAAAAAATATATTTTTGCAGACTTTCTTTTACTTATACAAATGGAGAAAATATCACATTTAAAGCAAGTTAGTAGAAAAGTTTCAACGAAAGATACTACTTTTATTATAAGTTATATTAAAAGCAGATTGATTTTAATTGCAGATAGTAAAGTGATAAAACATTAGTTATTAAACTTTAAATGTTCAAAAGAGAAATATTTGAAAAAAATGCACAGAAAAGCAAGAAAAATTTATTATATATTTTAGAATGACGTCATCTTTTATAAACAATAAAAAAATAAAAAGAATTGTTAGGGTGACATTATTCCTTTTTCCAAATGACTAATTATACATTTAATTTAACATGATATGATAATTAATATTATTAATATATAAGATTTAAATATAAACTTTGATATATAAGATATAAGATTTAAATATAATCTTTGATATATAATATTTTTTACAAAAAATTTTATATATAATGTTTTGAAAAAATATAAAAAAGAACAAAATTTAAAATTGAGATTTATATCAATGCTGATATTTATTTGTATCTTGCTAACATTCATATATATATAAAACAAATGTTACACTTTTGTCACATGTATGAGATATTTATAACATTTAAAATTATGTGTTGCTAGTTTTAATTATTCATAACCTTCAAAATATTAATACATAAATGTGGCCAGTAATTAAAATTCTTATTTCTGTTTAATTATACTAGTTTAACTTTAATATTTAGATAAAAATCTTGGCTCACATTTATGTCATGCGATAAAATTTTAGATAACAATTATACATAGTTTTTATTTTCTATGTAAGTTTCTTATTTAAGTTGTTCTGCAAATAACACTTTTTAACAATAATAATTAATTTATTAAACATAACTTTTTCTCCGTATTGGAGACTTTTAATATATATATGTAATTTTTAAATAAGCGTACGTAATAAAGTATGATAGAATTCATATACCAATATTACAAAAAATTACGTAAATCAAGCAGCTAAATAAGAAATTAAAATAAAAATTATATACTTAATCGTTTTCTGTCAAAACACAAAAGTCAAAGTGGAAATGGACATTGAACAAATATAGCGCCTGTCGGATGTTATACGAACGATTAAACGTTACACTCGCAGCTACAAGTTGTTACAATATTTCGCGAAGCTAAATCGATTACTGCCATCCCAATTGTTGCCATCCCGAACACGTTAAACGTCTCTCACGATGGAGAAGATCATGAATTTCATTTCTCTCGAATTCTTATCGACACGTACTATGACGTACATATCGATAGAAGATCGAGAAAAAGAGAAGGAAATCATATTCCCAAAGGATCAACTGTCTTTCTATTGTCTTTAACTTTCTTCCTTCAATTTTTTAGCGAAGCTAAATATAACGCCATACATTTATATGTTCAATTTTGGAAAGCATTCGCCGGTACTGTTTAAAAATTAAATCTGCTCCATTTCGATAAAATAATAAATTGTACGAGGCTAAAAAAATGGCTCTCTCTCTCTCTCTCTCTCTCTCTCTCTCTATATATATATATATATATATATATATATATATCCAATGTGTAATTAATTTCTATATTCTTTTCATAAATCTTATAATGTTCAGAAAAATTTTATTGACGCAATCGCTCGCACCCGTTTCCTGATATTGCTTGTTGCCAACATTTCTCTTTGCTGGAAATATAAAATATTTATGCAGAGACGTGCCTTTCTATTGCGGAAGAGAGAAATTTGAAATTTTACTATCGAAACCGGCAGATACTTTGGTTCTTACGAACTGAAGTATCTACATATCCACTTTCTGCCAGATACAATAGCTTATATATCAAATCGCACAAAACAAAAAAGGGATGAACATCGTAATAGTAAAACGAGTATTTCAATATCGTTATTCAATCGATTACAAACAATATCAATTACAAATAAATGTGCAATCGACATAAATGTATACATATATGCGCACTGCAATTGCTCTTTAATTTTTGTATAATTACATTTACTCTGCGTTAATTAATAATATTGAAGAAGAAAAGCTATTTTATGGTTTTAAATATGATTCCGAAAATGAATTTTAAATGTAACTCAATATATTTGCAAGCATAATAATATTTATGGTACGCATTTCGCTATATTTCTTAAATATTCTAGATCATCAAGGGATTACATTTATTGTTACATGGATAACGCGTTGTTTATGAATAATTTCGATTGTAACAATAGGGTCATTCCGCGAAATTAATATCAAATCTAATTTAGTTTTCTATTTTCCCTGTTATTATATTATACTTGTAATTAATATACGAATTCCATCGTTATATAACAACAATGCAAGTGGAAGTTTATTTGTTGTCCGTGAAATTACATTTTATCTGTATTTGTTTTGATCCTCATTCGTGGGCAAAGATCAAATTCACTATGCGGATAATTGCCAAAATTGTCTATGTGGGTAGTGTAATAATGTGCGCGAATATAGTTCGTTCATCGATACGAATAAATAATAATCATTTCCGAATGGAAATCAGTCGATATTAAATTGACATATGCTCGCCATTGTCATTTTATACACGCGATCATTATTCCAAAAATACAACTGGATATTGATATCAAGCTCGATTCGAATCGATAAATCTCGCGGAAAAACATCAACCACATCCATTTTGTCAAATATGTCAAATTATTTTTGTGCGTCAGTCGCCATAACATTTAAAATTTTAATTTAATTAGCTTGAATTATTTCTTCAAAAGCCGAAAATTGTGCATATATTGTTCAACAATCGAGCCAACATACCGTAGAGATTAATAGCTATGCGGTGTCCAGTAACTATACAATTTATTTTATACCTTTCTCTCTCTCTCTTTGTCTCTCTTCTGTCACCGTACAAAGCATATTTATAGCGAAAGCGTTGGAGCAAGATTGCTGGATAATAAAATATAATTGTGAATATATTTAATTAAAACGAAATTATACGTGCCAACATCGATCTTTGTGTGCGTATTTAAATAGATACTGTTCGTAATATTCTCACGGGAAATGCAAATAGAAGCATGGTCCATTTGACTTTGTCCGGATCCTATCCCATAGATATGTACGAGAGCGTAGATGACAAGTCGTCGAAAGCTCAATCCCAGACAAGTTGCATCTCTAATCTGCAATCTCGTCCCTTTTCATTATTAAGCGCATACTTGGAAGATTGGTTTTCCGTTAGAACTCGCTATTACAAGAGGATCGCGTTATTTGCAACTGTTTCCGCCGATGTCGAGCGAAAAAACTGACGGGGTAAAGGAATGAGTAAACGCGCCAGAACGAGAGACAGAAATCGATTGACTGCTATCGAGTAAGAAGGAGATGACATAGATCACGGCCAAAGTATGCTAGTGCACTGGGATTCAACGATGCATTAGGTCGAGGAGAAAAAAAAAGAAAAAAACAGACTCGGAATTGTATCGTGAAAAAGAAGGGGCCTACGTATCGCAAAGGGTTGAGCTGAACGAAGAGGAGAGCGAGAAAAAGAGAAAGAGGGGCTCGCACAAGGGAGAAAGGATCGCATTGGAAGAGGATCGAAGGAAAGCACGGAGACTGCGTGAGAGCGGGAAAAGCGTAGCGGTTGGGGGTGAGGCGGAAAAGCGATAGAACGAGGCTGGTCGAGAGAGAGAGGGGGTAGAGATCGGAAAGAGACAGAGGACGGAGGGTTCGTTTGCCGAGCTCAGTTACGCCGCGCCCCTTGCGATGAGCGTTACACCACACGGGTGAGATCGTAGTGTCTTCTCGACAAAGAGAGAGAGAGAGATCACTCTTTTCTCCTTCGTTATCGCTTTCCTCCTTTTTTTCGCGATGGTGAGAAAAGCGCACGGCGCGGCCGACGCGAGGAAAAACATAGGGAAAAGAATTCCGTGAGAAAACAGGTAGCACGTTGGAGAGGTGCACGTGTTTCTCTATCGAAGAATTAACACCCGATGTTACTGACGCTTGGTGTCGTCGTACAAAATCTCTATCGATCAAGGACGCTGGATGTCATTAATTCGCGCATGAATATTTAGCGTAAGAAAGATAGAAGGAAATTCGCGAGGCTCGGATCTTCACGCGTGGAAAAGTGTTTGTTATGTTTATTACACGAGAGTAAACTACTCGAGAAATGATGTGATATTGATGGATTGTATTCAATTTTTCGATTTGTGTATAATAGGAATAATAATGTGATTTTTAATTAATCGAATGGTGATGGAGTGACGGCCATATTCGTTTACTCGAAAAACATTCGCCGACGTCTTAATCAAAGTAACTCGAGCGTGAACTGTCGCGAATCGTCATTTGCAAAATGAGACTTGGACATCTACTTGCTCAGATTTGAAGCTAATTTAAATTATCGATGACGGAAGAATGCAATAATATAGGAGCGGTGGCAAAGTTTTAATAGATAAAATACTTTCGGAAGAAATACGAACATGATTGAGTGATCGATACGTGATTTCGTTTAAAAAGTTTCTCGTTTGCGGATATAAAGGTATGAAGTAGCCGAAACTTTCAAAAACTTTGAAAACTCTCTATTGGTCATATCAATTTGAATCGGGTGAAACGAAATTAAGGAGCGGTTCAATTTTGAGACCAACTGTCAAAGGTAAATAGCTCATATATTTCGTACGCATGATTTTCGAGGACCATTTTTAAAGGGCGCGCCTGGCTTATTCGATCGAGAAATTTCTTCATTATTTTACCATTCTTTTAAAAGATTAATCATTTTTTATAAATATTGCAATATATATTTGCATATTAATATAAAAATTACTATTATATTGGCGTACATCATCGTACACATGAAAAATAATAAAAATAATTTTTTTTATAGCAATATTTTTTACTAAAATAAATTTATTTATGCAATTTTGTATGAACAATGATTGATCTAATATATACTAGAGTATTTTTGTGGTACACGCAAAATGTACATAATTATATCGATGAATACAGCTTTGTCTAGTATGAAAATCTTGAATAAGTCAGCAGAGAGATTCAAATCATTTTAAAATTTCATACTATACACAGAAAAAGCCTATGTAAAAATACATTGCATGTAAAAAATATATCTACGTATACATACATTTGTATACGTAACGCAATTTTTAAAGAAAAGTATATCGGAAGATATCGTTGCGCGAACGGAAAAAGCGTCATCTTTTCTATCGAGTGAAAGAACACGCTAAGTTTCACACTTGCTCTCGTGTTTTTTCGCGGAATCCGCAGAAATTATAGCAAACTAGGTCAAAGCGAACTGCATTTATTTACGAATTATGATTTCGCGAAGAAAGAATGAATAAATCTAAGTTTTCTGGCACACTATAAGCTATATAAATCCGAGTTGATTACCCGCAAAAGGCAGCTCCGCGAATCTCGAAAAGCGGTATTTTCGGATAGTGAAGTAGCTTCAGTGCCACGGACAAATTATTACGAACAATCAATTGTTCCACGAGAGCCAACGAAAACGGAAGCACCGAGAAGAATTCGAGGACGGAAAGCTCAAGCGAGCTTTTTAACTATCCGGACGGAAATGTTGAGAGCGCAAGCAGCAGAATCCATTTGAACTTGCTCGATTTAGGCGGCCGGGGTCCAGATACATTTGAGTTTTAAAAGTCAAGCGCAACTCAAGTTTTCCAACTGTTGTGTGAAAAGTATAGCTCCCCGTGTGCTAGACAGTTGTATACGTTCCATTATTGAATTGTCTATGTCGTACCAAGACCGATAGAGGAACTTGAACTCGATCATCTCCGACTTCGTCTCCGATTGCCGATTTCCGCCTATTAAACGCCTCACTTTCCGTCCTCGAAGTCGGATTGCGATATAAACGAGAGCAGAGAGAGAAATAATCCTTTTTAAATCTAATTTAATTCTTTTAATTGTTGTATAATATTTTTAATAATTTATAATAATCTAATTTTTAAAAATTTGTAGTAATTTTTAATAATTTTTAATAACTTAAAATACTTAAATTTTTAATCATTTGTAATCTAATGTAATTTACAATTTACTCTGTACATTTCCCTATAAAATGTGGCAAAAGTTTCGATAGAAAAAAAAATTTTTTGGCGATAAAAAAATATAACCCGAACAAAATTGTAAAATAATTATTATCGGTTAACATATTTCTATTAATTATAAGCACTTTTTAACGTTAATATCTGATTAGAGATTTCACTGGTAATTTCTCATGAGTGGCACGCGACCAAATGATTTTGATTATAAATAAATTAAAATATTTAAAGCTCAGCATTTCAGCGAGTTTCTACCAATTTTTTTTTTTCGTGACAGGCGGAGGAGACTCCACCAAACTGTGAAAATCCGCTGGGCTTTTCGCTTTTTGTCAAAAGATTGGATGATTAATCATGCCGTCCTATATTCTCTTGTGCTTTTTGGGCTGTGTGCGTGACTACACATACGCAATATGCAATAATTTCCATGCGCATATGCGTCACTCGGGCCGTGTACCTTTTAGGTGAACGAGAATTCATCAATGTCTAAAACTGGAGTGAAGCCTTCCCAAGTGATTGACCGCAGCTAGGTCCTGTCATTTCGTGCTGTTTCACTATCAAGTTTAATATTTCTAATCTAGCGAGCCAATATTTCAGAAATATTTCCAGTTGCTCCGTGAACGCATCAATAATAAGTTGTCATCTCGCACTAATTTCTAATTTTTTTTAAATATAATTTTATATATATGTAATTATAAATTTATTTATATTTGTTATAACACTTTTTATATTCATAAATTTCTATTTATAGCCTTAGCTTATTAATCAACCTTTTTCTAACAAGCTTATGACGCTGTCAGCTTGAATCGCACTAATAAAAAAGCTAATGCTTTATCTTCGGTAATATTTGACAGTCTTTAAGATATTAAATTAATTATCATTGCGCAATTTTTAAAAAAGTATATTAATAGCAACATTATTAGCAGATTATTAGCAGATTTATTTTATCGATATCGAAAAACGAGTTAAAAAAATCACGATTATCTTCAGTTCCCTTTAATACGCTGCAATTTATATAGCCTTACATAAGCACGTCCGGTTTGTCCGACGCATCAACACTTTGACCCCGTTCGAGCGTTTAATCCACATGAGATACGTACGTATGATTAGACGATTCGGCGGAAACGGAAAACCATTCAGTATCCCGCGCTTATCCGCCAGCTCAACGGCCTTCGCAATTCACATTAAACGTGTAACCCGAATACGGCCACGGCTGGTCGGCGAGCTTATGAGCTTTTCAACGCGCGGATCAACGTACTCGAGGCCCGTCGAACAAGGACGACATATCCAGGCATATATGTATGTATCGCGGTCGATTAATTCCCCCTTACAGACTCCCCCGATCCTGAAATGGGCACTATCATGTAATATCGTACGGTGTTTAAGTGAAGGCGCGCATTTCACGCGCGATTGCTGCAGCTGATTGCCTATTTTCCGCGCATGTACTTAAGCAAAAATGTTCCGAGAGACATCTTTCCGCGCAACGATTTTGAAACGTTACGACATTCAGAGTTGTTTAAGATCGAGTTGTCTAGAATTTGCACGAGGATAATCCTGTCGGAGCATCCGCAAAAATAGTACCGTAATCGTAACTCGTGAAATTAATTATGTTGATTTACTTTTAATAACATGTAGTCGCTAATAATATAGCAAGCGAGATGCCTCAACTTATTTATAACAATTACAATAATTTGGTCTTATTATAGAGTTTTATATATTAATGTCACACTATAACACATTGTATTCGTCGAAAAGATGAGATTAAAATTAGATTAATGAGTGAGTTTTCTCAATGATTGAGATTTCGTAGAATTTATATACAATAAAAAATTGTGCGCCCATATGTTAAAATTTTCCTGTGCTACCACGTTTTGATTAGTACTTGTAATGTAAAATTAACATACAGTTTAAATGTTATTATTTTTATAACGTTTTCATGCGTTACATTTATGTCAACTTTATAACTTAACACTTTGTATATGTCTCTTAGAAATGGAATATTATTTTGAGTATTTTTAACACAGTCATTTTAAACAATCAATAGTCTCAAAGTCAGTTTAACATTCTAAGAAACGTTAAAGCAAATCTTCAAAAAAATAATCTTGAACTTTAACATATAAAATAATCAAATTTATTAAAAATGTTTTTATTACAAATAATATAAGTTAAAATAATTACTATTATATGTTAATGTCTACCAACATTTCTTACGAGTTATTGTAACTATTTTTTCGTGTAATTTTTAATTAATTTGTATGTTATTTTTACATTACTTAAAGTCACAATAATAAAAATAAATGTAAAGTATCGTGTCAATTATTTAACATTTTTAGTTTATCAATAAGTAACATACGACGAGTTATCTTAATTTAAAATTTAGAGTGAACTTTCTGGGACATGTGAAAAATGTTATAATTAACATTTTATTTTTTACTGTGTACGACTGCATAAATTTAATAATGTTAAAAATTAAAAAAAGAGAACAATATGTGTCTAGCAACTTTATTACATTTAAATGACATAATGCGCTGTCTAATTGACGTTCATCGTGTTCATGGCGTTTGTGGCCGATGTACGCTATGTGTACATGTGTAGTGAATTAATCATATATTGGGTAGCGTGAAATATATATGGAACAGATAGTGATTAAGTATAGATGTAGTTGCATGAATCGATCGAACATTCGTATAAAATCAGTATCGGCATGATTATCATGAAAAACACGATATCGCTGTATAAGTGAAATCGCAATATATAAAATCCCAAAAAATTAGAAATATTTCGATTTCGCATAACAATTCATCTCGTGTATATTCGCATTCTTTTTAATATTCGGGATGCGCCAAATTTCACGCTCGCAAGTAACCGCTTTGTATGACGCGGAGATCGATCGCGTTCTAGTGACAGATTTTGGTATTGCTTGTGCGCGAAAAAAAAAAAAAAATTGGTCGCGCTTGAAAACTTGCACGTTTTCACGGCAATCGTGAAACGCGAAATAGCTTCCTGAAATTACTTTCTCGTAATGCGCAATCTGGAATATCGCCCACTCTTCTCTTAATGCAGATATAGTTTTGCATCTCTATAAAAGTTCAATCAGCGAAGTAACCGAATTATATTTTCCGTCTCGTTCATCCACATCATATTTCGTCGCGATATTACTTTATAATGAATATTCCCTAAATCATATATCGGATTCGCGCTGTATTGAAAAAAGTATATAAAATGTAATAACACTATATCGAATCGAAGGGGGGGGGGAGGGGGAGACCAGGAGAGGCCAGGAGGTAATTACATCGCGGTGCACGTTGAGTTTAATCAATCATCGCGAACAACTTCTCTCTTGCCTCTTGCCGCAAGGGAAACACAAAGATCCTGTAATTTAATGCAACGCCGCAGATTAGATTGTGCATACATTAACAAGCATTCTCGAATAATTTTTAATTTCGCGGGACCCCGTCGACGGGGTAATCGTTAAATCCAATGAAATATCGCGAGTACGTTTTTCTCGGCACATGTGTATGAATTAGAATTTTAATTATTTGTTTCGCGTATGAGAAAAAAGTCTTTCTTTTATTCCCTTAAATGCAAAAATCTA